AAAACGATCAAAGCAACCGCTTGGGAGTTTGACCTTTTTTGACCGAGAAATTTGACCGAGCTTCACTCCATGACAAGTGATGAGTCAATTTTGACCAACGGAGGATGATTATACAAGCCTCTGTGTGTCCCGAACCCCATGAGGCCAGCTGTAACTCCAGGTATCAGGTATCACCGGCCCCACGAGCGGCATACCGCGAGCTGTGTGCTATGAGGTGATACATGTATTGTGGAACTCTCTGGTGCTCCATTTTCCGACCGTTGGCGAGTTTTTGTCAGAGCTGTCATTCAAGACTGTTGAAAAAAATCTCCCCAACGAGTTCCACAAAATAACTATGGTTAATGCTTAGTGTTCTGTCAAATTTCAGTTTCACGTTGTACAAACTCCCGTTTTCACGACTGGAATTCAGTGGTTTCGAAATCATTTTCGTCAAAACTCATTTTAACAAAAATTAATGGGATGATGATATAAGATGCATTGTAGCATCAAGTTCGTGATATTGTGGAGCTAGGCATAGCTCATATCACAAGCCAACAAACTGCGATATGTTATGTTTCAACAAGGTTCATATTATGCACATCAGCAGCGTCTGCGGTGTAACGATTAGGCACTTCGACGTCCCACGCAGAAGATGCCAGTTCGATTCTCGAGTGGGGAGGTTTTTTTTAATGGAATAAAACTGTCTTTAGGCTCTTCACCGTTGCGCGCAGAAGGCGCAAGTTCAATTCCCGGATGGGGAGGTTTATTAAAAATCGATTACTTCCTTCTATTTGCCGGGACGCTGTATGCTTTTCATCCCTGACAAACAGGGTCGAATCAACCCATTCTCTGAATTATCTAAATTATGTCCTTGTGGGGAGTAAAAAAAATATAGCAACACTTGTTACATTATACAATGGACAACAAACATCACGCTGTAATTATCTGCTGAGCCACAGTTCTAAAAAACAATCTCAGTTTGCAAATTTGGCAAAGAGCCGAGCGAGCGCTGGCCGGCGACATTCCACAGGCCACAAGGATAGGAACACTGTCAGTTATCACGAGCTATCACAAGCAGGGATAATCATATTGTGTGGCATCGTGGTGAAATCAGGCTCTCGTCAATTTCTGGGGCATGTTCAGTTATTGGCATTACCTTAAAGCTTGTTCATTTGTCTTGCTTTTGATGAAAAAAGTACTCTTCTATCTTGAATAGAAGTCGAGATATTAGAGATATTTAATTATCG